AATATTATAGTATTAGAGATTTGTTTCAATTATATTTTAAAATACTATAATTGATTAATTTTTCAAGATTTCCTTTTTGATCATTTTTCATTCTTATCAGTTACCTTTGCCAAATATGATTTGTTCATCACCTAACTTATCAGCTACCAGCTATATTATCAGCCACCAGCTAGCTTATCAGCTAGTTTGCCAAACATAACCTAAGCAATTTGTTTTTCCTCTTTTTGTTGGCTACAAGGTATTTATTCATTTAAGCTTTGAGTTGGTGAAGATGTCCTTGCTTTCTCCCTCTTAGAATGATGTCTTCCAGATGTATGATTTGTCTCTGAATCTGAAGAAACAAATGTAACAGGAGGTGAGTAATAGAGGAGTCATTAGGAATATTACCTTTTGCTTGTAAAAACTTTGGAGTAAGCTTTGAGATGTGGACTATCTCTGGTCGAAATATTTTTCTGTAAAGATTGTATAGAGATATCCTCTTCATCAAACAAATCTTTAAATAATAAATTGAGTTTTGAATCTCTGGACTTGGAACAAGAGGAGTCAAAAGTCTCTTGGTTAGGTTTGAGTCCTAAACTGAATTGTTCAAAAGTCATTAGAACTTTTTTGTCAAAAGTCATAATGATGCTCTCATATACCATTATGGTTCTGTTGTTAAAGATTCTGGAGGCTTTAGAGCTCAAAGAATATCCAAGAAAGATGCTTTCATCTGCTTTCTTATCAAACTTTCCTAGATGATCTTTGTCATTTAAAATGTAACATCTAACCAAAGACATGAAAGAATTTCGCTTTAGGTCTTTTTTGATTTACAAGTTCATATGGTGCTTCAAGAAATCTTTTGTTAATGATAGATCTGTCTTGAGTAAAACAAGTTGAAGATATAGCTTCTACCTAAAAATGAGATAGGCAAAGTATAAGAGGCAAGCATGGTTATTGCAGCTTCAACAAGGGTGCTGTTCCATCTTTCCGCAACATTATTTTGTTGTAGTGTTCTTGATAAGGAGAATTTCTGTGTAATGCCTTCATTGATTAGATACTAATCAATTTTAGCATTCTTTAATTCACTGCCTTTATCACTTCTCAGCATTTGGACGTTGCATTGAAGCAATACTTGTATTTTCTTGAGCAACATGACCAATATCTCTAGGACTTCAGATTTCTTTCTTAATAATTCTACCCAAGTATATCTTGGGAATTCATCTATAAGAACAAGGATATACTTTTTCCAAGAGAGACTTTGGGATGAAATTAGACCACAAAGATCCACATGAAGCATTTCCAAAGATGGAATGTCTGGTTTTTGAAGAGTTTCGATTCTAAAATTTGATTCAATGCTTGTTTTCTTGTATCATATGAGGGATTCAAAATCATTGGAACCCATACCTTATATGTCCATTTGACAGTTTTTTTTCTCATACTTATCTGATGCATCTCTGTACTTTTTGATCAAAAATTCATTTGTCATGAGTCTCTTGTGTAACAGTTATCTTTCCTTCTAGAAGAAGTTTCTAAGAGCAACGCAATTAAGTCTTTTAGACTCAGAGGCATTTAGCTATTTTTCCTTTTCTTCCTAGTCTTTTGAGATTTCTTGGTTTTCTCCAAAAACTTTTCTTCTTCTATTTTTCTTAGTTTTTCCACCCTCCTTTTCTCTTCTTCAACGACCTTATTTTCTTCTGTTAAAATGTTTGTTTCTCTTTCAACAAAGTTTGCTTCCTTTTCTACTTTCTTTCTTTCACTCTTTTCAAATTTCAACTTTTGTTTAATTTTAAAAAAACCTAAGGGAGTTGATTAACAACCATCTCAAGGTCAGTGGTAGGGAATTGAGAGTTAGAACATATCTTGGTTTCAGAGTCAGAGATATAAGCTTCATAGATGGTGTCTTTAGAGGTTCTGGCCATCATGCATACAAGTCCTTTATCATTTTCTTCTTCAGAGATGGAGTTAGAGATCCAATACTCTTTTTCAGCTATTAAGATCCTCTTCCTATTGTTGTATTTGTACTTGTTCTTATAATATTTTGCATCTTTGACCAGTTTGCCTTTGCAATCATCTGCAAAGTGGCCTTACTTGTTCTTATAATATTTTGCATCTTTGACCAGTTTGCCTTTGCAATCATCTGCAAAGTGGCCTGATTTTCCATATTTGCAACACGTAGAGGTCTCTGAACTTTTCTTTAACTTTTTCATCTCTTCCTTCTTGTCTTAGTTCTCATAATATTTGACTGGTTTATATTCTAAGGAGTTCTTCTGGTATCTCTCCCATCTGTACTTTCTTCTACATTCCTTTTCATAAGGCTTCTTGACAAACTTCCTTGAAATTTTGTTGGTTATTGGGGACAAGGACCGTTCAAAGGCACTTAAAACATCATCTTTTGTATCAGAATCCTCTAGTTCTAACTCGCTCTGGATCACCAAGGATTTGTTTTTCTTTTCTTTTTGAGTCGTCTTTGGATGAACTCTTCTTTGCCTTTTCTCTCTCCTCTGAAACAAGAGCCAAAGACCTCTAAGAGATATTTTCTTTTTGTTAATCTTCTGTTCTTGTACGGCCAAAGTGCCATATATGTCATGGAAAGACCAACTATCTAGATCTTGATGTGCTTATTAGGACATAGATAGTTACTTCCATTCTTCATTTACGCTCTTAAAACCAGAACAATATTTTCTTCGTTGTTTCTAATGATTTCATTTCTTCTTACCTTGGTTGATAAGCTTATTGAAATGATCATGTCTTCTAGATAGGTTCATCTGGAAAAAGAGAGAAATTGGTGTATTCATTGAGACATTGAGCTCTTCGATTCTTCTTTGTCTTAACACCACCTTCTAACTGGTTAGCAAGCTCATCCTAGATTTCCGTGGTACTTTTTTATGTATTCAGGGATTGAAATATTTCGTATGGATAGCCATGATAAGAAGATGCTTGGCCTTGCAATCAACTTCCACTTTCTGCAAATCATCCTTGTCCCACGCTTTTTTTTTTTATGCTAGAATGAGGTGGGAGAGAAGTAATTAGCGGGAATCATGCAATTAACAACCGAGATGATTATGTAGATACATGAAAAATTGAAAGTAGCACAAGATCGCCAAAAGATGTATGTGAACAAATGAAGAAAGCTGACTAAATTCCAAGTGCATGAAAAAGTGATGCTAAAGATCTCACCTTGGAAATAGGTTGTACATTTTTGGCAAGAAGGGAAAGTTGAGTTCCATATATATCAGACCATTTGCGATAACGGATCGAGACGGGTAGGTGGATTATAAGCTGGATATACTCGAAGAGCAATGGGTGGCACAATTTGCAATCACATAATCCTTTAATCTTGTAGCCACTTGTACTAAAAATAATATTAGCATAATTCCCCATAGACAATAAATAGTCGGAGTGAAATCAAAGTCAAGTTATTAGCAATCATACTTGGTCAATGAGAATAGTCTCAATTATAAGTTACTGTTATATAGAGACAGTGGTGGATCCAATTTTTTTTCTTCGAGCGAGGTATAATTTGATTATAAAATTTTATATAAAAGAAAATTTTCACAATATTAATACAGATTAGTAGGTCGGTCTGGTTCGTTATCTCATATAAGACCCATGTTCATATCTTTTGGACAAATCCTGGAGCATTTACCATATCCGTTGTTAAAGTCTTACACTAACATTTCAGCTTCAACCATATGGTGGCACTTGTTAGAAACATAATTTTTTTTTTCTCTTATTCTTATGAGAGAACCACCAAAGGGACACCTGTGCCATCATATCCTTCTACGTAGGTTAATTGTAGAGAGATTAAGATTATGCAATTCTTACGTACTGGAAAGTGTTGGATTTGTGTTTTACAATTTTTATTGCAAACATGACGCATTTTCCATTACAAATCATTATCGATACTCGACATATTGACGATGTTTTATAATTTTTAGTTCCTCCACTATGTTTTATTAAGGAATATTTTTGTTATTTTAGGGTTAGTTAGAAATTTTGTTTAAATATGTTGAATTACTTTTTAAACAAGTTATATAACTTTATTAGAATTTAGATAACGATTGGGATTTAGGAATTCTTATTATAATTTTATGAATTTGTTATTATATTATGATTTTTTATAATTATTATCTTGAAAATAACTTTTATTCCGTACGTATTTCAAAATACAAAATATACGTATAAATTTTTAATTGTTTCTTCTCTTTATAATGGAAACAAATTATATATATAGTTTATTTTTTAGTATTTTTTAAGAATATCTCATTCGTCCCAAAATAAATATCTCTATTGTTTTTTTTTTAATTTCTCCCAAATTAAATATTCCTTTTCAAAAGCAAATGTTTATTTTCTCATTCTATTTTTAATTATAAGATTAAAGGTAAAAAAGTTTATTAATTAAAAAGTGTAATAATTACATATTTTTAGAGACATCTTCTTTTTTGTTGATCTCTTGTTCTTGTGTGACCCGAGTGCCATATAGACAATGAAGTGACCGACCATCCAAGTCCTGATTAGCCTGTAGGGACATGGAAGGTTAAGTTCATTCATCATTTAAAATTTTCAAAAACAAGATTATGTTCTTCTCTGGATCTGATGATCTCATTCTTTTTACCCTTATTGATAACTGTGTTGAAACGATCATTTGTCTTACAGAGAGGCTCTTCTGGAAGAGCAGAGAAGTTGGCATATCCGTTTACACAATGGACTCTACAGTTCTACTTAGTTTTGATGCCTCATTTGAGTTGGTTAGCTAGCTCATCTCATATCTCTTTAGCAATTTTGCATGAATCCAGGAACTGAAATATATCGTTGGTAATTGCCATGATAAGTAATCTTTTGGCCTTGCGGTCCACCTCAATTTTTTTCCATGTCATCCTTAAACCATTCCTTTTCTTCCTTGGGGTTACAATATGCAAACATTTCATTAGTTATACCTATAGCAGATCCTCTTAGAACTACGGCTTTTGGTACAAAAGGACCATTCAAGAGAGATTTACACATATTATCATCTAATCATTCAAGGAATTTATCATACGAATTTTCCATTAATGATACTCTTCTAGAAGAAGATTAGGAGGTTTAGTGAGAGATCCAACATTGTACAAAGAATTCGAGGATGAATTTGCCATGATTAGAGAGCATCAATACAAATCTATTCTTCAAAAAGAATAATAACTGTAGGAATCATAAAAATAAGCTCGAATGAGAGAATTTTTGAAAATGGAGGTTTATAGCATTGAATTGCAGGTTTTGAAGAAATTTCCTTATGAAATGGAGAAATTAATTCAAAACAGATTCAATCATTCGATCGTAATTAGTCAATGTGCTCTGATACCAATTGTTGGATCTGAAATATCATTTTGTATCAATGATCTACACAAAATATGTAAAATGGAATCAATTTAGATCAAAACAGTTTATAAATGGAAGAACAGTTAATCAATATGAAGATAGAATCGTAGTCATATGATTAATTGTGACCATTAATCTTACAAGGATTGAAAATGATGAGGGTATTTGGAGATGGAGTGTTTTAAGAAACAACTCATATGCTCACATTACAAATAGGGTAGAGGACTCCTATTTATAGAGAGAGATACAAGAAATAGTAATCTTCTTACTTTACGCCCAAATTTTACTTTTCACACTTTTAACACTAAAACTGGAACTAACATCTACATACACCATCATAGATCTCGTAAACTAGAAAATGCAGAGATGGTGGTTACAGTAGGTACGATGATGGTTTCAAAGTTGTTGTTGCAGGGATGTAGCTAGTAGTGTAGAGGGTAGTGAGAAAGAGAGAGAAGGTCAAAGAACGTGGAAAGAAGGTGATACCGTCTGCTAATGGAGATGGTGGTTAAAAGTGGAGGTAACCATGGAAAGAAGGTCAAGAACATGGTGAAGGTCCGAAAGAGATGACCAGTCTTGATCATGCTCATTTTGGACATCCAAGTTTTATTATTATACATTTTGGTTCATCTTTTACAAAAGTTTTCTAGAAAATGTAAAAAATAAATACAAAAGGTACAAGGATCTTCTGCCCTCGTATTTGATGAACAAGTTGGACGATCGCTAGTGTGGGCGACCAAATCTAATACAAATTGCATAGGTGGACAAAATATTTTGTAATAAATGAAGAAAAAAAGACCATTTCTGAAATAAATGACAGACCTCAGGGACCAAATCCGTAATTACTTCTTTTTTTTGTCTTCTATATCTTTTTCATTTTTCAATCATATTAGTTAATTAATGATAATTTTAAGTAAAAATACATTAAAAATAGGCATTTTATTTTATAAATTACAAGAAAAGTTTTGTCGGTACCTTTAAAATGAGTTAAATATTGAATAATTTTAAGTTTTTATATAATTTATCTGATACACACACACACACAAAAATCGTTCTATAGTAATTCAAAAAAAAACATTTTCTATTTTAAGTTGTAGATTTAAAGAATGTATCATTTTTTCCAGTTTATGTAAGATAAAACGAAAATTTATATCTGTTTATTAATAAAAATATATCATTTTTAAATATTTCATTTAATTAATTATATTTTAATATGTATCAAATAAAAAAATTTATGATATAATTAGCAATTGTTTTTAAAAATATAAACTTAAATTTATTATAATAAAAATCAATAACCAATTAACAACCACTCATTTTATTGTTTTCTACTTAATCTTTACTAATACAATCCATATAGTTTTTAATAACTTAGTTAAACTCTATAGTTTAATAATTAAACTATATTGATTTAATTATTTCAAATATATTTTAATAATATATATGAAATTAAAAACTGTATTTTCTTCAAAAAGGAAGAAACACAGATAAAAAAGTTCTTAGGGGGTGTTTGGGATTTTGCTTATTTGAAACAACTTATGTTTTTCTACAAAACTCTTTATCAACTTATTATAAGTTAGAATGATTTAATTTCTTCAAAAGCTTCTCATTACCGGTTTGTCACCGGTATAAGCTATTTATCCAAACACTCCAAACTACTTATTACCCACACAAGAGTAAGTCAATAAGTTATTTTTATAAGCAATCCCAAACACCCCTTTAAGTATAAACAATGAAAATGTATGATTTATTAATTGGTTATTTATTTTTTATTACGTTAAATTTAAGTTTATATTTTGAAAAAATTTAATAATTATATTAGAAAGTTTTTTATTTGATACACATTTAAAAAACATTAAACAAAATGAAATATCTAAAGTTAAGACGTTTTCTATTTACTAATAGTCATGGATAAATTTTGATTTTTATCTCACATAAATAAGAAAAAAATGATACATTTATAAAGTCAATTTACAATAGAAAATGTTTTCTTAATAGTGTAGACGAATTTGCAGATATATATATATATATATATATATCAGATAAATTTCATGAATTTTTTAAAAATGTTCAATACTTTGCTCATTTTAAAGGTATCGTCAAGGTTTTTCTAATGGTGTAATTTATATAATAAAACAGCTTTTTTAGTTAAAATTATCACTAATTAATTAATATAATAAAGTTGTAATATAAAATGAAAAATGAAAGAGGTAGGAAAGACAAAAGGAAAGAGAGAAACCATATCGACAAAAATCATAATTTACTTTAAATATAATAAAACCAAAATGTAAAAAGATAAAAAGACCAATATACCCTTAAGTTAACTAATTTTTCTTAACTAAATTTAGTTAAAGAGATCAAAAGTGAAACAAAATGGTAACCACAATGTCCAAGACAGTGATTAGTTTAAAAGATGGACCAAATATAACAGTAAGAGGGCGTTCGTTTAAGCGCTTACCGACAAGAGTCAATACTATTATTTACCTTATGAGGTAACATTCCTGGCCATCAAAATTAATTGATGGTAAACGTTTCTAACCCGATAAGAGTCATTACCCTCACTTACTAGGTAAGATTCTCAATTCTTGCCATCATTCTTACCGGCTAAGATTCTCGATTTTTGTTATGTTCACTGGATAAGGTAATTGATTTGGTAAGAGCTTACAACGATAAGTGGTAAGTGACAAGCACAAAGGCCAAGAATGTAATTTACTAAAAAATAATATATATATTTTTATCTTAGATATTTAATGAATAAAACAAATCATTTAGGATATAAAAAAATTTGAATTACTAAAATAGTTAGAAGTGCTTCCAATTTAAAAAAGAAAACTATATTTTTTGTGTGCAATTTGTTTGGGATAACATAAAAACTTCTGATCAACGACTTTTAGTTACTAAACTTCATGTTACAGTCTTTATTGTCAAAAAATTGTTCGAAATATATTGAAAATAAACTAAATTTAGCATATAGTAAAACCTGTCACGTGTTCATGTTAAAACAAACAACATTATATGTTCAGTGTTTGTTAAATAACTTGGTTATATATAATGATGTGCTCAATCAGTGTTGAAGCCAATTCTCAAACACTGTTTAAGAAGAGTCCTCTTGTGCAAATTCATTTTAATATGCTAAAAACTAGAGCATACATAATCACTTGGGTTGTGGCGCATTGATAAGGGTTAGAGGGATACAGTGGAATATCTCATTCACCCCAGGTTCAAATCCGGGTACTACCAAAGCCCTTGTGGCCATGAAGGTTCACCTGAGATGACTCCAGACAATTCGTGGTCGCTTGAGGGGGTTCAATTGGCATGCGTAATCTAGTCCGGAAAACCCACGGTTACCCAAAAAAAGAAACTAGACCATACATATGCATTAGATGCAACAACAAAATTTTACTTATCAGCTTCTTCCATAATAACATTTGATGAAAATATACACAGTGAAATCCATATTACTTAAAGATCAAATACCATGAATTCTGATTTGCTTAAAGTAATGAAACTCTCTGAAGTGTTTATGTCATTTAGAATTCCTACACTTTTACTTGGTGTTGATTGATCTATCCATCTAAGAAACAATAACACTCTTTTGGACTACCAGATTTCTTTAAATACCTTCCCTTTCTCATACATACCACCACAAACACAAAAACCTAAAGAATGATGGAATCATCTTGAGCTATTGACAAACAAGTAAATAAACGCATTAACATCGTCAAGCCAAGATGTTGAGTTATGCGCTATGGGTAACCGTCACGGCAATCTTACGCTTTCATGAGTTTTGCAGTGGCGAGATACGTATGTATTCTATTTTGATGGTCAAGTTAATATTCAATATATATTTGATAGATGATCAGCATTTTGTGTCGTCATATATAATGTGTTCTTAAGTAATCGATTATATATTTGTGCTGTACATTTGGAATTTGTTTTTGAAACTAATATTTTTTTGTAGATTATCAAAATATTATTGTTTCCTTATCAGTAATTTGTATGAATATAGAGTTTTCTTTATTATCATATTGTGACATTTACTAAACAATTATAAAACGATTTCAGTCTTGTTTCCTAATTTTTGTGTTAATAACGTGAGAAATGAAAATAAAATGGAACGTGTTCAATATTTATATTTTTCAACAATTAAAATAAGCTAGTTAGCTAGATATAAATTATGATTTTTTTTATTAACCTGGATATCCAATCCGTTATGCGAGCCAATTAATCATAGGATGACCATCTATTTGAACCTCCGTGGCTACAAAATAATTTTTATTCCTCCTTGAATTTGAACCTGAGACCTCCAGACATTTTTGACCTTTGAAACTCAAACTCAAACCAATCAGGCACCACCCTTGTGGTTAAACTATGATTTTTAATTTAATATTTTTAAGTTTTATTAAGAAAACGAATTTTGGCATTGGTGATTTAAGCTTTAAAACCCAATTATATATCTTCAATCGGTTTTTAATTTCAAATGTTCATCTTATTTTTTGATAAACGAACACTTTTTCATGTAGGTATTAAATAAAAATCACGACACAAGCAACGTCTTTCAGGTAACATATAAAAAATGTCCTATCTAAATACGCCACTACAATACGCCACTACAATAAAATTGGATTTATAGGACGTCTAGATTGTCTAAACGTCCCAATAGAATACTTAATAGAATTTAGGTTTATAGGAGTAAACCCTATCTAAAAGTGTTATAATAAGTTTATAGGACGTTTATAGAACGTTTTTAGGCGTTTTAACTGATTTTTTAGGATGTCTTAAAAATAAAACGTCATTTTAGCTTTTTGTAGGACATCTTTTGAAAAATGTCTTATAAACACGTCGTTTTATAGGACAGTTGTGTTTATAGGACACTTTTTTCAAATAGTGTGGTATAAAATAAGTAAGTACGACAATTTATTTTAAAAGCATTCTAAAAAACTCGTTAAAATGCCTAAAAATATCGTATAAACCTATTGTAACACTTTTAGATAGAATAATTTTTAGTTTAGTCCTATAAAGTAGAGTCCTATAAAATATGTTTTAAAACGTCTGATAAAATCAATTTTGATGTAATTTTTCTTTCATTTAATATCTTTCATTCTAAATTACTATAAAATCAATATTTAATGGTGTGATATAACATCGTAAGCCGAAAAAAGCACATGACGACCAATTAATTGTGAGCACTAAAATTGTGTTTATATAGGATAGATACAAATAACAATAAATTTATAGATTCCGACAATCAATATATATATATATATATATATACATATTCATATATTCATTAAGAAGTGTTAAATGTATGAAAAATAAAAAAGTGATCCTTACTTCTAGGAATTAAATCTTTATATAATTCGAAAAAGCAAAGCACAATCTTATACATACGCGAGGAAGGTAACAAAAAAGATCCCTCTTACTAACTGGAATCAAAGAATTAGTAGATCTGTTCCGCCCAAAATGGTATCTTTTAACAATACCTTTTAAAAGATGGCTAGTTCAAGACGCTGAACAACAAAGACCCTTCCATTAGAACATTGACGGTCAAAATTTGAGGGATTGATTGTGTAACAGGAGATAATTCGGTCGCATAGTGATAGCTATATGGAAGATAGAGGGATAATTTTGTAACCTTTACATATAGACGACATACAAGTGCATATATGAAACCGTGTTGTTCACATATAAACTACATATGCATATGTGAACCCGTATGGTTCACATATGAACTACATGTGCATATATGAACCCGAGTGATTCACATATGAACTAGTTAACTGATTCACATATGAACCAAAAAGTTCATATATGAACTATTTAATTGATTTATAGAATCTTAGATTCATGTATAACATTATAGTTTTAGGATCGAAATCAACATCTTGGTCAAGATCGCTTTATGGATTCAACTTCATATTGAAAGAATACGAGATTTGATCAAAAAGGAATTAAGAAATTTGATAATTTTAATAGCCTGGAATGCGATATATAATCAAGAAAGAATCGATGATAGAATCGTTAGTGGGATCGAGATCGTATTTCATCGATTAGACTTCCCTTGTTGTCATCGACGATGGTGATGAAGTGATCAATACATTAATGGGATTGAGATCATGATCTTCGCCACCGCTTTTTCTAGTTACCATATTACCCTTCCTTTAAAAAACTAATCATTTAATTCAAGGGCTAGGATCACTTCTCTACTTCTCATATATTCAGCACTTCTCATTTGAACTCTCCCTATATATATTATATATAAAATGTTGCAGATTCTATAAAACACATAAAGTATTTGATAAAAAATGTTAGATGTTCTATGAGAAGTAACAAATTTTCAAAGCAAAAAGTGATAAAAGTATTGATTCCTTATTCATTTACAATTTTAAAATCGTCAATTCATTCATATACAGCTCCGAACTATACCTTCATGCATGAAGCAACAAAAGCTCGGAAGATTTCAGTCTACGACTACATAGTCATTGGTGGAGGCACCACAGGAATCCCAATAGCCACCACATTATCTAAAAACTATTCAGTTCTACTGCTTGAACGTGGTGGCTCACCTTATGGCAATCCAAACATCACCAAATTAGCCAACTTTGGCTCCTACTTTTCTGACAACTCACCAGACTCCCCTTCTCAACAATTTGTTTCCGTCGACGGCGTTGTAAATGCACGGCCACGCGTTTTGGGTGGTGGTACTTCAATCAATGCAGGCTTTTATTCTCATGGTGAGGCAAGATTCCTAAAAGTGGCCAAACTAATGAATGAAAGATTGATTAACGAGTCTTATCGGTGGGTAGAAAGGGTGATGGTTTTTAAGCCGATTCTGACTAGGTGGCATTCGGCATTGAAAGGTGCGCTTGTTGAAGCTGGAGTGACACCAGAAAACGGGTTTACATATGAACACATCCTAGGGACTAAAGTGGGTGGTATTATTTTTGATCAAAATGGGCAGCGCCATACGGCAGGGGATTTGCTACAGTATGCAAATCCTAAGGGGTTGCATCTTCTTTTGCATGCAACTGCACACAAAATCTTATTCAAAAACAAAGGTACATTTTTTAAATTTAATTATATATTTATTAGCATATTTACAAGATAATGGTGACGTTGATCATGATTGGTAATTTTACTTCATTTTCATGTTATTAATACATATTTGTAAATAATTTTAGTAAATATCACCCCTAACATTTAGTCAATTTCAAAACAATCTTCTTGTACAGGTAGAACAAGACCAGTGGCTTATGGGGTAGTGTTTGAAGATGCATCACGTAGAAAGCATAGGGCATACCTAAAAGGAAGACAAATGGATGAAATCATACTATCTGCTGGTGCTCTTGGAAGCCCACAACTTCTAATGTTGAGTGGCATAGGTCCAAAGGACCAACTTCATACCCACAACATCAAACCTGTGCTTCACCATCCTTTCATTGGTCAAGGCATGGTTGATAACCCATTAAACGAAATTTTTGTCCCTTCTCCGGTACCCGTCTCGCAATCCTTGGTTGACATTGTTGGTATTACAAAGTCTGGAAACTATATTGAGGCAGTCGAGGGCTTCAATTTGATTGGTGCAAGACTTTCTGACTATCAGGGTTATTCCTATGAGGTATTTCATTCATTAACAATCATAACAAGAGTTTAAAAGTTATATAGCTTTAAGCACTTCTATTTGTTTCCAGATGGGTGGATTTATATTCGAGAAAGTTAACTACCCTCAATCCAAGGGTTACCTGGAGCTTCAAAACAGAAATCCAGCTGATAACCCATCCGTAAAATTCAATTACTTTAAAAAACCTAATGACTTGCGAAAATGCGTTCTTGGGGTTAAAGTAATCCTAAAAGCAATTGAATCAAAAGCATTCTCGAAATTCAAATATCCAAATATGACAATCCAAGATATTCTCGACCTTAACGTGAAAATGCCAACAACTTTTCCCCCACATGCCAATACGAGCTCATCATTGGAACAATACTGCAAGGACAATGTTAAAACTATATGGCATTACCATGGAGGCTGTCGAATGGGCAAGGTAGTCGATGGAAATTATAAGATTCAAGGTGTGGATTCTATTCGAGTGATTGACGGATCAACTTTAATTATCTCTCCAGGAACCAATCCCCAAGCGAGTCTTTTAATGCTTGGAAGGTGATTAACTTTGAAAATGGAAAGATATGTGGTTTTAACATTAATAGATGAATCTTCCTTCTTTCTTTACAACTACAAAATGGCAATCATTTTATTCCAATTCATTGCAGGTACATGGGAGTCACGATACTAAGCAAACGACTTGCAAGTGACAAAGCCAAATAATGACGAAGACAATCATATCTTAATTTGCGTAACGTTTCATAGTTATTCCAATATTAATGCACATTATTTAGTATTTTTTTTTATTGATTATTGATGCAACATGGAAATCCGATAAACGTGTGTTCAAAGTATTGTGTTTAGATGATCGTTTGTTTGTATTTTATTTAAGCAAAAACTTTAGAATAATATATATTAAAATGCTTCTTATCAAGTATTACATTAAGTTTAGTTAAAAGTAATATGAGGATCACTAAGAATATGTCTGATGATACATATAATGGTATGTACTCCACCGATATGTGCATTAGAGATACCTTATATATAGTACGTGACTTGTTAATAGAAAATTGCATTGGATGTTATATGAGTTTTTTTTAATTATTTTCATTAGAGGCGAATCCAAAAAATATTCAAATGCGTAAACTAAGTGGTTTTTCTTAACTTAAGGGAGCGTACATCGAATCAAAGTGGATGCAAATTTAGGACTCAGATAAAAAATTCAACATGGCGGGACGATAGAATGGCAACATAGGAAACCCCTCGCCTATACAAGATTTTGTTGTTTCTTATGAGGTCATTATACATGTAGAAATTTGATTTAAAATCATGGAGTTTGATGTGCTTAAGTATAATGTCTTATCACTGATTTTAATCATGTTGTAATTATGTGACACTATGGATGCTGGGTATAGGATTAATCACATTGTAATGGCCATGCATGGTATGGGATTAATCACATAGTAATGGGACAATAAAACATAAGTCTTATTCTACCTTTGTCGCCTAGTTGCATGGTTGTACCTTTTGTAAAAGAGATGAGACAAAGACGTAATCTGCAATATTTTGGTTCAACTTGAGGGAGAATGTTGAGGACTTCTTTAGTGCTCGCTGAGATTTCTTTCTTGATAAGTCCTTACTTATTAGAAAGACAGATCTTCTGAAACTGCTTTAGTTCTTCGTATCTTTATCCTCAGCCACAACTTCAACATAACATGAAGTTCCTTTGATTAAGTGTTAAACTTTATCTTTGGGGTCAATGAGTTAATCATTGAGGGCTTAATCAATATTTTTAACACTGAGTGAACATTCAGTGAGCATGAGCATATTCAGACATTGGAGATACTAAGAATATGAAATTACAATAGAAATTATTGTGTCTAAGTGAGTTATCATCAAAGCACTGAGGAGGATCAACCATCTCCCCTTATTTGATGATGATAAAGCCATCAATTTGACACTAAGTTAGGACAATTAAAGAAATAAAATTCATAGATTTGGTGTCCCAATTTCTGTTTTTTGGGGATGTTTTAGAGCACTCTTAGTTATAAACTTTCCAATACAAGTTCAAAGTTACTTGTACTAAAAATAAATATACAATAACTGAAAGTAAAGAGACAGTAGACAGAAAAGATAAACTTCTTTACTAAGTTGGTAACTCTATAGAATTTGGTATAGAAGTGCCTATTCCCTCTTTTATTTTCTTCAGCTTTATCTAGATCTTCCTATGATAAGTTGTTAGTCTCAACCATCGAATTTGTATATAATATTAATAGACATCCAATCAAACACTTAGAAAAGAATATTCTTGTTTTCTTTGCTTTTCAAGGTATTAATCCGACGTATATCACTCATTGGATAAAAACCTCAAGTGATATAATCTGATCTACTTATTAGTCTTAGACATATTACTTCATCAGATGCGTCTCTCTATAGTCGACCTTCATCAAAGCTTCTAAGAAACCTTGATTTGATTGATTCATCCATCGAATAAAGGTTCATGTATGTACCAACTATAGTTTACATCTGATGCATACTTCATACATAGTTTATAGCTGGTAAAATCCGATTTGCATCTTACTTATCTGATATAAGGAATTTTACTTGTAGAAGTCTTATAACTATGTGTATTGATCAAAGAGCATAATGTCTTTAGCAAAATCTAAAACTAGTTGAAGTGAGATCAAGATCATCACCAAGGCGGATTGGTTTATCATCTAGCCAAAAGAATATCAAAACAATATAAAAAGTCAACTAGTAGTCTGACAAATACCACTACTGGCTAGGCGAGCAAGTTTGGCTCTCCAAGTCTTCCCAATCTTAGTATGAGAACATGTATATCATGTCAGCATAAGTAAGTACAAAGTCACCATGTGAGTAGTACTTTGTTTGCTCTAATGTTCTCTCGGTATACTAAAAAGATGGAGTAAGTTAAAAATGTGTCAATATCGAATTCAAAGGTTGAAATGAAGAGTATTAGGATACATGGATCAACCAACAAGAAGTAGACACACAGAAAAGTTGGAAAAATAGCATTAAATGGAATGATGGCTATAAAAGGCCACCTTGACATTCATTGCAATTCACCCGTTTTGAAAGAATAATCCTTGAGAGTGTTTCTGAAGTAAATTCGGCGTTACAACACCCCATGAAATTATCAACTATAAGAAACTGTATCTACACCCTGTTTTATACAACTCCCTATGAGATTATCAACTATAAGGAGTCCTAATGTGAAATTATTTCATGTCCTTGGTTGCATATGATTTATATTCAGCGACACAGACCATCATGGCAAATTTGATAAGAAGGCACATGAAAGCATATTCCTTGGATGTTCCCTGAACTCTAAAGTCTTCAGAGTTTCAACAACAGAACCAAAATGGTACTTGAAAGAATCAATGTGACTTTTGATGATAAGGCTTCAAAGACTTATAAACAACTCAATTCAAAACTCAATGTTAACTAAGAATTTTCAGTTCCACATTGGACAAGCAAGGCTTCAGAAATAAATGCAGTAGCAACGGTATTAGCAGCAGAGACAACCAAGTTTTTCAACAGGATGGTCATTGCTGGTAGCTGTGTTGTAAAAATGGTATAATGATCTATTTCATGAATGTTTGTTGTCTTTCTGGGTACTATTGCTCTAGGATCTGCCTAGTGACCATTGTTGTTAGAAAATTTCTCCAAAATATCAAAACCATCATTATAGGTACTGGAAGTAAAGGCTCCTCCAGCAGTAGCATCTAACATTTGTTTAACAATGGTGTCAAGACCATTGTAAAATGTTTCCAGCTGTATGCAGTAGGGTATGCCATGATGTGGGCATTTCCTTGTTAATTCCTTGTACCTCTCCCAATCTTCAAGGACTGTTTCATCATCCATTTGTCTAAAAAGACAAATTTTATTTCTGAATGACACTCTTGATGGGGGGAATATATCTTTAAAAACTTCTCAGTCATCTCACTCCATGTGGTGATGGAGTCTGGTTGCAAAGAGTTGTACCACACCTTGGCTCTGTCTCTTAATGAAAAAGGAAATAAATTCAGCGTTAAGGCTTTATCAGAAATTCTATTAAGATGGAAAGAGTTAGTGACTTCCATAAAAGGTTTAAGATGCAAATGAGGATCTTCAGATGGTAATCCAACATATTGACCATTTGATTGTAACATGTGAAACATGATGGGCTTAAATTCAAAGTGGTCACCATCAATAGTGGCCCTACGTATTTCAGGATGTAATTGATTTAACTTGGAATAGTATAGTCTTTGATGCCACCAGTCCTTGAATTTGCAAGCCTAATAACCTCCCCCACATGATTGGGTATTGTACCAGGTACAACTTGAGCCATTTCAGGAGTAGCTAGAATAGGCAACAAATTTCTTTGTACCCTTTTTCTCCTTCTAAAGGTTCTTTTAATGCCCGGATCTAACTCAAAAATAGTCCCGTGAGGTATCATTGGCATAAACCACTAAAAATGAATACTTGCATGATGGTAGAAAAATCAAACTTTAAAGTAACTTAAAGAAAAACTCTTTTTGGCTAAAATCTCCGGCAGCGGCGCCAAAAACTTGGTGTGAAGACTCAAAAGGCTATAATAACAAGTAAATCATGCAAGTATACATGTCTTATAAGTGTCGGCAAAACAAGTAATAATGGTAAGTAATAACAAATATCGTTCCACGGAGATTTAAATTGCAAAGAGAGTAAAAAAAAAAAAAACTTTAAAGTGAGATTTCAGAGAAGGGTTTTTGGAAGCAATAAAGTTTCAGAGAGAAAATATCTTTGCGAGAGTTGGTAACCAAATACTGAAATATAATAATAATTAAAAGATATTATGGATGCAAGATCAGGCTGAATTTCAGCAACGAAGTGTAATGAATATTGCTCTATGAATATCTCTTTACAACACTACTGGATTGAACGGCTTTCCAAGGAAGTGTAGATTAGACCATATGTTGGAAGTGCACTTGGTGATGCATCAATCTCAAACTAGTATAGATCTTGCCTTTTTTCCATATAGTTTTGCAACCCATAAGATTACGATGACTCTTTATAGCCTCTATAACACAATTAGTAAAAATATTTTTGTTGTCTTAATTTTAAGTCCAACTCATCTGAATAAAATAACATGTGACAATTTGTGAAATATTACCAGATAAAATATTAATACCACTTGTGAATAGCAAAATAAATTGCTATTAACAAGCAAACATCAACTAACACTTAGCGTAATCCTACAACCTTCACTTACACCCATACTAAGGTATTTAGCTTAGCATGACTAAATATAAGTGTTTTAACGTAAATGACTGAATGTAAATGACATAAAAGTAAATTCTACAGGAAAAGTAAAGAGAAAACTGGAAAGGTTGATATAGCAACTGACAGTGTCAAAGAACACTTTAAAGTACTTGCAAAATGATATAAAAAGGTAACAAGGACACAAATCTTAGATGAAGTTTTTTTCCTGATGACAAAGTGAAATTGTTCAAAGGATTATCCTCATATATATACTAGAAAGAGGGAATCAAAAGTATTAGTGTGTAATACCCATTGGTTATTAACCAATGTGTAAAATAAAAGATGTCTTAGTACACAAGATGCTTTAGTACAAAAGTTTAAGGTATCTTTGTAGTGGCATCTTCCATCTAAATCACCTGCTATTAGTACTATAAGATGCCATCCTCCAAAATTTGACTTTTCAACATTTTCAACGGGGTTGAGCTAACTATGCCAATATCCAGTGTCCAGTGTTGCAACAATGTATACATCTGCTACAACAATGCTTATGTCAACATTTTATTCACCAAATACATAAAAGAGTACCATTCCCGCATCCTAGCTTCAATGAATGTGAAACCATAAAATAAGACTAAAAGACTCAATATAGGATTAGGAAAGGTGTAAAATGAAGTGAAATAAAGACATAATTGGATGCTAAAGTGTATGTTTTTACACACTTATCACTACTTCATTACCTTTACTGATGACTTCATTAGATATGGGTATGTTTACCTAATGAAAAACAAATTTGAAAGCTTTGAAATATTGAAAGAGTTTCAAAATGAAGTAGAGAATCAACTTGGCAAAAAAAATAAAAGTGTTTTGTCAGATTGAGGTTGTGAAGATCTAAACCAAGAGTTTATTGACCATCTTAGAGACCATGGGATAGTATCCCAACTATCTCCTTCTGGAACACCTCAGCATAACAGTGTGTCCGAAAGGAGAAATATAACTCTGTTGGACATTGTTCTATGATGAGTCATACCACTCTGCCTAATTTTTTTGGGGATATGCCTTAGAAACAACTTCCCAAATACTGAATAATGCACCAACCAAAAGGACCAATAAAACCCCATATGAATTATGAACTGGGAAGATCCCAAAGTTTTCTTATTTGAGAATGGGGCTGCGATGCTTATGTTAAGCAAGAAGCTTCCAAAAAGCTTGATCCAAGGTCTAAAAATTGCATCTTCATGGGATATGCAAAAAGAGACAATTGGATATTACATCTACAAACCCAGCAAGAACAAAGTATTTATTGCGCGACGTGGTGAATTTTTAGAAAATGATTTTCCAACAAGAACCACCACGGGTGACAAAGTAGAATATGAAGAAATTCAAGAACCATAAAATGAGACTATGGTTGACACTGACCATAAACAAGATGTTGGACCTCATCAGGTTGTTGAAGAAAATAACGAGATACAAACAATTCAAAGATCAGGTAGGAACTGTCAAGAGCCTGAGAGATATGGTTATCTCATTGGCCGTAATGATTCAGTTCATAATGACCTGTAACCTACTAGGAAGTGTATCATGTTTGGAATCAGATAAATGGCATGATGCCATGAAGGCTAAAACACAATCCATGTCAGACAATCAAGTTTGGAACTTGGTAGATGCACCTGTCAACTACAAAGCTGTCAGGTGTAAATGGCTATTCAAAAAGAAAAAAAAACATGGATGGAATTGTGCATATCTATAAAGCTAGGTTGGTAGCAAAATGTTTCACAAGACTCATGGAGTAGATTATAATGAAACTTTTTCTCCAGTAGCTATGATTAAATATATCGGGATTCTTCAGGCCATAGTTACGTATCATGACTACGAGATATGGCAGATGGATGTTAAAATTGTGTTCCTTAACGAAACTCTAAACAAGGACGTATATATGGTACAAAACTATTGAGAGTGAAGATATTATACACAATGTGTATATTCTGCCCAAAATTTTTCTTTTAGTTCAAAACGATCAATGCGTAGAATCAGAATAAGTGATTGCTGAGATTCGTGCGAGAACATCCACCAGAAGGTTTTAAGCATCCAAAGTACCATGAAAAGGTATGAAAATTATAGAGGTCCATTTATAGACTAAAGCAAGCATCTCGTAGTTGGAATCTTTGTTTTGACGAGAGCATCAAGGAATTTGATTTTGTAAAAATGAAGATGAACCTTGTGTATAGAAGAAGGTCAGTGGGAGCATGATAGTATTCTTGATACTATATATTTATGACATATTGATCATTGGAAAAGACATCCCTATGTTTGAAGGGGTAAAAGTATGTCTAGGGATGTGTTTCACGATGAAGGATCTAGAAGAAGCAGCATACATCCTTAGAATAAAGAGCTATCGAGATAGATCTAAGCGCTTAATTGGATTAAGTTGAGTACATACATTGACAAGATCTTGAAATACTTCAACATGGAAGATTCCAAGAGAGGAAACTTGCCAATGGTCCATGGCATACAACTGAGCAAAACTGAGTGTTCTAGCACAAAAGAGGACATGAACCATATGAAGGGTGTTCCCTACGCTTCGGTCATCGGTTCAATCATGTATGCCATGTTATGTACTAGACTGAACATCATGTATGCCTTAAGCATGACAAGTAGATATCAGTCAAACCCAAGTAATGCTCACTGGATAGCATAAAGTATCTGAGACCCTCTAACCAAACCTATGAGTCAAAGCAAGAATGATGCTCATACCAATTCAATAGGCTTGAGGTTTTGTAAAACACTAGTCTAATCTAAAATTTAAGTAAGCTTTAAAATATTTGAACATAAAATAGTCATGTTTTTATCTGTTTTGGCATATTGGATATGTGTATTTACGTTAAACATTTTTGTATTCATTATTAGCATGTTTAAGTATCCTTAAATAAAATGATCATATTTTTTAAAAATTTCCTTGATCGATTACTACCAGGGGGTTGGTAATAAATAAAGATCATTATGAAGTCTGGTCATAGTCCAAGATGGAAGTGCACTAGGTGCAACTAGAGTCACATATACTTGTCTAGGGGGTAGGTGTTGGACAAGACCCACAGTTAGGATCACCTCATAGATCGGCATCATAAGATGAGTCCTGAAATGGTGGACACTTTTATCCTCAGACCTGAGATGTGCATTGATACCTATTGCACAAGGAGTGTTATAATTTAATGTAGTCTAACGTTACCCTTAATTGTGTAGTCATAACGGCTATGGTGGATATAACATAAATTGTGTATAAGTCATGTACATGCCATATGGGATGTGATCCTCCCAAATTGGGAGAGATATTTTTGGGCCCTTTGATAATGTAGTTTGATTCACATGGCCATAGATAGGTGGATTAGTTAAACTAATAGCACACGTTTGAATTAAATATGTTGGAATTGAGAAACATAATCTTTGAACTCTAAAGGATGAGATAGAGCTATGTCTTAAGTTCAAAACAAAATATCATAAAACAAAAGGTTAGAGAAATGATACTACGATATGATTGACTGAATCAATGAAGACCGCTCAAAGGAAAAGCACATTTACATAGCCTTGGGAGCAGTGATGTGTTGCTAGATGCTTACAATCATTTGTGTTACTATGTGTCATGTGCAAGTGGGAGAATGTAAGTTATTATATGCACATGA